ACTCTATGTAATCGTAATATCATTCAAATGTATATTTCTAGAGATGCGCCATTAAGAAACAAGCGAACATGATGAGTTGCAGCATCTGCTGCATTCAAGTTACTGGAGATTTTGCCAACCTTGCCACGTTTATATAAAAATATATATAAAAATGAAGGCACCAATTCTCGCAGTTTACTTTTACAAATATTTCATATTTCTCGCATTACGCAATTTCAGAGGAAAAAAAAAGTTTGCAACTATGACGGATAGTGCAATCGTTCTGAAAGTACCCAATGGCTTTGTTTGATTGAGAAGCAACAATAATAAAGACGATTTCTCGTTTAAAATGATAATGACATATACGAGCCGACTTTTTAATGTGACGGCCCGCTGTGAAGCGTCTCTAATAAATCCATTGAGTCTTCTTAAGAGAGGAGTCTTGAGGTCCGTGTTCAGTGAAGTTCCTTTTTTCGATCGCGCTTCCAGACAGCAGCCCGCCAGCGCAGCGCACTTCCTGCTCCATCCAATCGGAGCACAGAAGCTCTCGGGTCTCGTCCAATCAGCGCACGGTGGTCCTACGACTCGTCCAATGGGAGGTGTGTGCGTGCAGGTGGCTGCGCTGTTATCAGAGGCTCCTTGTTCGCCGGCAGCACACAGCCAAGAGTGCGTCAAAAGCGGTCAGAACATCACAAGAACGTCCGACTTCCTGTCACTTGGCCCGGAGCCCAAGCAAGCCGTCCTGCAGCAGACTCACCGAGGACATCCGGAAAGAAGTCGGCGTGATCCCGCACCGGGACAGTCGGGGAGCGCGCCCGGCCGGAAGAATCCGTTAACTTTCATTGGCGACTTCCTTTTGATTTCATGTTGACAAATGTTAGCTGTGGGACAGATGGAGGCTAACCGGCAGAGTGCTTTCGTCCTGGGCAGCACCCCGCTGGCGGCGTTGCACAACATGACAGAGATGAAGACGTCCCTGTTTCCGTACGCGCTGCAGCAGAGCCCGGCGGCTGCTGCGGCGGCTGCGGCCGGCTTCAAGGCGCCGTCGCTGTCCAGCCTCAACTCGCAGCTGGCCACCGGGGCTACCCCGCACGGAATAAGCGACATCCTCGGAAGACCCATCTCCACCGCCGGCCAGCTGCTCTCGGCGGGCTTCCCCAGGATCAACGGCATCAACGGGCTGGCCAGCACCGCCGCCGCGGCCGCCGCCGCCGGGATGTACTTTGGCCCCGCCGTGTCCCGCTACCCCAAGCCGCTGGCCGAGCTCCCCGGGAGGGCGCCCATCTTCTGGCCCGGCGTCATGCAAGGCTCCCCGTGGAGGGACCCGCGCGTGCCCTGCCCATGTAAGTACCTGCAGGCATGCGAACACTTCTTAGCTCTGCGTCGTCTTAAATGTCATTTTAAGTACTTTCACAAAACAACTCGCAAAGTGCTTCAAGTCATCTCTAGCAAATATTAAAAAGAAAACCTGCAAATTATCCCTTTATGCCAAGAGAAAAAAAATGTTCATTGGACTGCCGAGAAACTGAAGGCTTGATGCCATTTTCTGGAAGCGTTGAGAGGTGTCAAACTTATTGTGGTCAATGTTTCCCTCATAGGAAGGTTATGGCAAAAACCACCTCAATGTGTCGCCTCATCATTCTATTACATATTCACGAGTGCCCCTGAATGTGATTGATATTACACTGTCGTTTATATTTTATTTTGAACGAAGACTTCGTGGTGAATAGTGGCAAAACGTATTATTGTTTATCATCCATTTATTATTATTCTATTTTTGAAGAGATTTATTAAAAAGAAATGCTTAAAACGAGTTAATGTGAAGACAGCATTTTCCGTGCATATTTTGTGACGAGTGAAAAGAGCAATTCCATTTTGCAATAAATAAGAAGTAAACACTTCATTTGCTCGAGTGGGCCAATCCCATAAAACGAGCTGGCAGGCCGGATCTGCATCTCCCCAACCCCCCGGCCCCCGGGCCTTGACTTTTTGACACATGCTTAACACTTAGAGTTCCTACGCACGCTGAGATATTTTAGTCTGTTAAAGTCGGCAAGTGCATTTGATTTACATAAAACACGTTTCCCAGAAGACCAGAAAGTGCTTCACATGTAGTTCGATATTCCTGCATTCAGCTCGAGAGCGCAGCAAAAGCGATTGGTTTAAACCAAGCCCACACATCTTTATTGAGATACAAAGAAGCTGCTGTCTATGTCTGTTCTAGAAATTGTGAAACAAGCAGAGCGTGAAGCCATCATTGGCCCCACAAGTCTTATTTCGTTTCTTACATATTGCATGCAATGTTTATTTATATATTTAATTATTATTATTATTATTGCAGTATTATTATTTCTTCCCATACATAGCTGAATAATAAATACGGAAGCACATTTTAAAGTTCAAATCAAATTCAAAGAAAACAAATTAAATGCCCGCCAAATCGTGTTTTAACTTTTAAAAAATATATAACAGTCACAATAATAATTATTATTATGCCAACTTTGTAATGGCTTGACTAAAAAGCCATATTAGATCTAATCATAATTCATTTTCAGGTCATAAAACAGAAAATTAAATCAAATATAACTGAGGAATATGTTCTTTGCATAAAAAAAAATATATAAAAAATACGGAGCTGAACCATGCAGGCATCTTTGTCTCTCTCCAGCTCAGTCGAGCTTAATGATGGACAAGGACGGCAAGAAGAAGCACTCCAGGCCCACTTTTTCTGGCCAGCAGATTTTTGCACTGGAAAAAACCTTCGAGCAGACGAAGTACCTCGCAGGCCCGGAGAGAGCTCGCCTGGCCTACTCGCTAGGAATGACCGAAAGCCAAGTCAAAGTAAGGATGCCTTAAACAGAACAAATCAGATTCATATTTAGTGCCGTTTAAATGAGGCTGAGGTTTAAATGTAGGTTTTATTTGACGTTTTTTGTGTGTTTTTGGAGAGGACCTGTTGAGCATTGTAGCCACCTTGTGTCCATTTCCAGGTGTGGTTCCAGAACAGGAGGACCAAGTGGAGGAAGAGGCACGCGGCCGAGATGGCCTCTGCCAAGAAAAAGCATGACTCGGAGACGGAGAAAATGAAGGAGAGCTCGGACAACGACGACGACGATGAGTACAACAAGCCGCTCGATCCCAACTCGGACGACGAGAAGATCACGAGACTGTTGAAGAAGCACAAAAGCGGCGGCGCGGGTGGCAATTTGGCCCTCATCAGCCCCTGTAGTAACAGCTCGGACACCTTGTGATGACCCCCGAATCCCCCCCCCCCTCACCCAACACCACCACACGACCAACGTGGGGGTGGTCCAGAAGAGACTCTTTCGGAGCCCATTTACACCTGACGTTGTAGAGAGAAGACACCGAAGGACACGCATGGGACAACAGGAGTTCCATACAAAAAAAAAAAGTACACACAATCTGGATTGGTACATGAACCACAAGCGAACCTACGTGATTGTTTGGAGCCACATGAGTAATATTAATTTTATCCGCATATGATTTGGAAACGATTAACGGAAGATTTGAAATTGTGTGAATGAGAGTGAACTGTTGTTTGTTTTTATGTTCCCTGTTATTGACTGGCGATCAGTCCAGGATGTACCCCAACTGCAATAGGCTCCAGCGCACTCCTGACCCCGCGGACAAGCACCACAGAGAAAATGGCTGGATGGATAGGTATTATTTGGACTTGCGAGTCATTCTCGAGATTCTTCTTTTTTTTTTATGATGCGGATTCAACAGCAACATTTCACACGTCAGGTGTGAACGGGCTCGGACGCTTTCAAAGCTCAAATTAAGCAGGGTATCCACTGTCCTAAAAGGCTCAAAGAGAACGAAAACGGATTGTTAAGGGGCTGCACGTCGCAGCCCGAAGACGACAAAGTATATATGAGATTGTATTGTATATATTTTTTACAAAATAATTTATGTTGTTTGAAGCGGTGGGGAGGGGGGTAAAAAGACTTATGTCCTCCACGCAGCCCTGACGCGCTTATTTCCTCGCAAACAGAGCCACTGCTTTGGTTTCACTTCTTTTTAAGTCGCACACTGTAAATAGGCCGTGAAAAAAAAACATGTAATTGACACATTTCTGTGTTTAAGTCATCAGACATACATCGCGATTGAAAACGGGAGTGTCTTTTTTTGTTGTTGCTTTCAAAGAGTATTATAATTATTGCAGCATCCAGGGAGGTTATAGAGAAAGGGAAAAAAAACACTTTGTATTATGAATAAATTATTTAACAAGCATTTGTTTTGTTTTTTTGTCTTCATGTAAACTGAATTCGTGTAATTAGAGATTATATTTTATGAGTGACTTCTATAATTTTATTGTGTTGTATTGTTTAGTTTACTCGTGACATTTTCATTTCAACTCCAGGTGTAAATTCAATTCGCAAGATCGCATGCTTCAGGACCCAGCTTCCATTTTATAACATGGGGTGGGGTGGGGTGGGGTGGGGGGGGGGTTCAACTAAACGCAACAAGTTCTGAGCTTGAGGGTGTTTTTTTTTTTAAACCACGGACAGAATTTTATGAAAAATACAAAATGCCGATATTAAATGAGAATTAAATTCTCAAGTATGAGGTTTTTACACGTTATGCTTCTAAACAAAAAATCGAAGAAAGCATAGCGGGGCTAAATTTTGGGGGGATTATTTTTGTCACAATGGGGAGCTTGATAAATTTAAATTTACCGTCGTTTCATCCACTTTGATTATATATAGGCCTAGATAAATAAAAATAAAGGTTAACATTTTGTCGCAAAACATGGGTATCACATTTATTGGCATGAAGTGTTATTTGTCAATATTATACGATTGACTACTGTTATACTATATTTGGCATAAATACCACTTCAAATACTCGTAACTATGAAGCAAAACATTTGTTGTTTCATTATTTTAATGACGTCTGCAACAAAGTCTATAGAATAAAAAAATGGATCGAATTTATGATCAATTGAATGGTGGAAACAACAACATTGAATCGTGAAAAAAGGACAAGGAGGCGTTGGGTGAGCTCTAATGTTGTTTATTGCTTGACAACTGCATCACCTGCAGGCCACGAGGCGCTCCACAGGGGCTGGAATAAAATCTCTATTTGCTTTGATACTGTAAAATGGAGTGAAGTTAAATTGCGGCTTATATCCCTACAGTAAACTCACAATGAGCAGCAGGAACAAAAAACGAGCAGGAATTTGCTTTTTTTTGTCTCCGTCCCTACTTGTTTGCCTAACAGTTCAAATCACACAGAAAGAAAACGCAAATTATGCAGCAGGCACGAAATTATTTTCCACTTGCAGTGATTTAAATGAAAACAAAAATCACAGAGGATCAATCTAAAGACTTAACATGTGTAGTGTAATAAATCCAAAGCATAAAAACAAAACAGCCTTTCCCAGTCACGTAGAAATGCTTTTTTCCTTTTTCTGCACAACAGACTGTTGCAGGCTACATGGAATGCAAATAAAAGCAAATTCTTTTACGTGGTCTTTTCTTGCATTTAGAGTTACTCTCCTCTTTTTTTTTTTTGGAAACATATCCTGATCATTTTCACACTTCATTTCTGTGTACTTGGCACCATAACAGCAGTAACAAAATTGACAGAAGGACATCCACGGCTATACCTAAAATATTACATTCAGAATCATATTATTATTAAGGAGAAATAAATTAGAGTAAGAATGATAATGCAATAACGTGAGAGTGCTATATATGAAATCTTATACACTTTGCAAAGGTCTATGGCACTGCTTTAAAACATTCTTGGAGAGGAATAAATCACTGTGGCTGGACACTTTCTCGTCATTACTCAAAGGTCACCGTGGCTGCAAGGATCTCCCAAACACAAGAATTATAAATTAGCTCTCTTTTAAAAAGTACAGTATATAAAACAAGACTCAAATGATGTGGTCAGGTATGGCAGCGGGCAGAAACACACACACACACACACACACACACACACACACACACACACACACACACACACACACACACACACACACGTTATATTTATATATTGACGGCTGAAATAAACTGAAAAGTTATTTCAAACGAAGAAACGAAGATCACTAAAACCAGCAACACGCCTAATGTTATACTGTCCAACGTACAAATTAACTTATTCAAATAGATATATGTCTTTTGCATTGCACTTTTTTTTTCTTAAAAACTTCTTACATACTGTGTGGACAAAGGAAAAAAAAAAAGGCAATTATGTGTAGCACGACCGATTTTTTTCGATTAGAGTTCTGGCAACAATTAGGCCGGTCCCATCCGTCCATCCTCTTCTATTTCTTTTTCTGAGGGGCGCTTGGGGTGGGGGTGGGTTGGTGAGGTTGCGTGGCAACGGTGAGGTCAGCGATGTGTGTCTTGTCTGGAGCGGGGCCCTCACACCCTCGGGTGCCGGTCCACATTTTCAACAAGTGTTTTATGGAGAGGGAAAACGACGTGCTTTCAACTGAATGAGCTGTGAGGATGGCTGCTCAGCACTGCTGGAAAAGTTTGGATAGCTTCTTCTTCTTTAGTGTACGGCTGTGCAAAGTGTATGTGCGTGGATGTGTTTGCATGTGGCTGTGTTCAAACGTGTGTGGGTGTGGGTGCGTGTGTGTGTGTGTGTGTGTGTGTGTGTGCCTCTTCTTGTGTTCTCACAGAGGCGCTTCACAGAATATATTCTCCCCCCTTTGGCAACAATTTCCTGTGGGGTGAAAAACAGAATTTTGTTTTTAAGCACAACACTCACAAAGTAGAAATATAAAGGCGACATTTTCAATTCACACTGAAGCTCAAGTTTGTGAGTAAATGTCTTAAAATGGCTGCAGCATTTTAAGCAATTAGCAAACGTGATGTGTGAGCATTTATACTCGGACAAAAGGTTTAGAACACGCCTCTTGATGAAGTCATCAATGAGTCTTCACGTTATCAAGAACATTGTGAGCAATCAAGTCTTTGCTTTCAAAATTAAGGTTTCTGTTCTGTTCTGTTCTAGAGGGGCTTTGGCCAAGAGCACAAAGGTAAAGTTGAATGAGTCTGGGGTGGAAGAATGGCAGAACCCTAACTTCAACCCCATCAAACACCTTGGGATGAATAAGAACAGACATTGAGGCTTTCTTCTCGCTTATGAGTGTTCTCTTACGTCACACATACTCTGAAATTGGCAAAATTGGAACCATCGTAGTCCGTCCATCCATTTTCTATAACCCTTGAACTCGTTAGGGCGAGTGGGAGCTGGAGCCCATCAATCGGGCAAGTAACTCGTTATTCCTAGACTGGTCACCAGGACATTGCAAGGAGTGGAAAAAGTTTTGGCTCAACATAAATCGAAATGAGAAATTGTCCCCCCTCCCCCTCATCAAACTATAAAATGTATTGCAACAACACAGCACACTTGATAAACAGTTGGGTCAAAAAAAAACAATTTGTGTCAAAATTGGGCAAACCCGCATCCTGGATTAATTTGACCCAACTTCAAATTTTTCATGGTGGGTTGTTTTGTGGAAAATTGGGTCAAATTGACCTAAGAAGTCGATTGGTCCAATTTTGACCAAAACTGGGTTGGATTTAACCCAACTGTTTTGAGAGTGACTGTGTGGTAAGGCAAGACAAATTAATTTATCCAGCACATTTCATACACAAGGCAACTCAATGTGCTTCACACATCGGAAATAATTTACAAACAGAACAGCTGACGAATTTTGAAGGAAATGCACAGAGAGAGAGAGAGAGATCAAAAGTCGCTTAAAATTACTTCAAGAACATACATTGACATTTAAACCAATTTTTAAAAAAGTTTAAAGACATTTAAAAGCAAAGGAAAACAATAAAAATATCTTTCCGAAATGATTAATCGAGTGTAGTTGTGAAATTGATTTTAAAAATGCTTAAAAGATCTTAATCAAACGAATGTGGAAAAAAAGCATATATTTTAACTTGGATTTTAAAGCCTTAATTCAGTGGTTCTTAACCTGGGTTCGATTGAACCCTTGGGGTTCAGTGAATCAGTCTCCGGGGTTCGACAGAGCCTCTGCCATGGAGGTTAAGACACACCCGACTCAACAGGTCAACATTGTTATTGATGATACTAGTGTAGCCTGTACTACCGGAGACAAATTCAATGTGTGTTTTACATACTTGGCCAATAAAGATGATTCTGATTCTGATTAAATTAGTTAGGACACGCACACTTGGCCATCACTGGCTGGTTAATTTTGTGCACAATTAAAAAATGTATACTTTTTTTTATACTAATTGTGTTTACTTTCTATTTTTTAATAAATATGTTTTTTTTATGTCTTGAATTTGTAAAAAAAAAAATCATACATTTTTTTTTACTAATGAACGGTAGGGTGGCCTGGTGGTCCAGTGGTTAGCGCGGAACCTCACAGTGCAGAGGTGCCAGGTTCAATTCCAGCTCCGGCTTCCCTGTGTGGAGTTTGCATGTTCGCCCCGTGCCTGCCTGGGTTTTCTCCGGGTGCTCCGGTTTCCTCCCACATTCCAAAAAGATGCATGGCAGGCTGATTGAACACTCTAAATTGTCCCTAGGTGTGAGTGTGAGCGCGGATAGTTGTTCGTCTCTGTGTGCCCTAAAATTGGCTGGCAACCGGTTCAGGGTGTCCCCCGCCTACTGCCCGAAGACGGCTGGGATAGGCTCCAGCACCCCCCACAGCCCTTGTGAGGATAAAGCGGTTAAGAAAATGGATGGATAATGAAGGGTTCGGTGAATGTGCATATGAACTGCAAATTTCCCCAATGTGGGACAAATAAAGGTTATCTTATCTTAACTGGTTGGGTTCAGTAATGCTAACAAGCCTTATTACTTGGGGCTGTCTTCACTTGTGCTGGCAACTTATTCCATCTACATGCAGCACAACAGAAAAATGCTGCTTCACCATGTTTGCTTTGAAACTCTTGACTCCACTAAGAAAATCTGAGTTTGCAGACCTCAGAGCCCAACTGGGTTTACGTATATTCCAATTAGCATTTCCTTAATTCAGGACTTAAACCAGTAGGTAGTACGTTCAGCGAAGACCGAATGTTTACTGAGATGTGATTGGGATGTTCTTGGTCTATATGTGCCTTGTGAGTGCCTGGCGACCAGTCCAAGGAAGTACACCACTTCTCGTCTAAAGTCAGCTGCGATGGACTCACTGGCTCATTGCCATGACAGTGCACAGTGTACATAATCTAAGGATAAACTTTTCAGTCCGATGTGAAACAAAATGCTCTTTGGCAGCAAACCGTATGCCATCTTGATTAGAGAGAAAATGCTCCGGCATTTAGTGACTCAATCCAAATGATTATCTGAAAATCCAGACTCCCAAATTTTCATCACTCACAATTCCAACAGCACGTGTCCTAAGACATTTGTCCACAGTACATATTGAAACAAGACTCTTCAACTTTGATTCGTGAACCATATGTGCAGAGAGATTCAGAAATCAAATCAAACAATGATGAGTAATTGTAAGGAAGAAAAAAAAAAGAATATTTACCACGACATCACTGCACCACACAACACTTGTGCTTATTTGCATTACGTTTACCTGCCCCCGCTGTTATTCGGAAGGACAGGAAGACAGGCTGGTAGGAGGGAGAAACAAATGGCAGTTAGAAGAGGAAACTATGTCAAAAAGGAATATTCAGATGGCACCAGAAAAAAGCAGTTCCTGAAGACTTTATTATTTATGCCCCGCTTGACAAGTGGAAGCTCTCGTAGCCTCTGTGTGACACAGAGGTTAAACTCACATAGCAGGGCCGTGTGTTTTGGAGCCCTCGCGCTAACAATATGGGACATTTTTTTAAACATAGCCAGCTGTGATTTTAGCACCAGTGTGCGGCTGGGAGGTGAGGGCCCGCCGCAGTATGCGCCCACGGGCTCGGGTCACCTCTCACACACACGTCGGCGCCTATGTCACAGCCAGTAACCATGAAAGACCTGACTTAAGGCGCCTCTCATTCAGAGCCGGAGCTGCTGTCTGACGCGGCGCACACTGAAGCTGCACTGTTTGACACCAGGGGCCCTCTCGTCTTCTGTGCCGCTCCTCGGCAATATGTTTGTTAGCATGTCACGTATCTGAAAATGACTATTGAGGATACTTGAAATAAGACATGGTGAAAGCGTCTACGTCACCTCAAGCCATGAGTTCTGAAAGGAAACACTGGAAAACACAAGCGTCATCATGTGCACCGCCACGCAAAAATGGGCAGCTAAGACCATGATTTGCTGTGATCTCCTTTCAACGCTATCTTAAGTGCATCAGTTGTTCACTGAGATTACAGAAACGAGGTTCTAAAGTTATTTGTGAGGATTTCCAAATGTTTTTCATTTATCGCGCTCGTGACTGGTGGACGTTTAGAAGACCTTTCCAACGGCAATACATTTGCACTTGTTTGTACTCTTTCCTCACTTTCTTGTTGATTGTACATTCCGTATATTATTAATATAACAGTAGTGTATTCTCATGAATACCGCTGCAGTGTCAACTTATTTTCCCTCATGGCAATAATAACGCACCGACCTCCCTACCTACCAAGCAATACAAACAAAAACAAAACCATTGTCTAAGTCGGTGAGTCCTTAACTTGGGTTTGATCGAACCCCAGGGGTTCGGTGAACCAGTCTCAGGGGTTCGACGGAGATTCTGCCATGGAGGTTATGACATCACTGGCTGCAGATGATCACATTACATTGCTTGTCCAAACAGTGCTGTGGAAATTTTAGTTCGCTCAGTTGACAGCATGTGACTGTTGTGATAGTAGGTCGTGTGATTATTATTATGATTTTTAAATGTTTTAACACATGCTATGTCGAGCAAAAAAAGAAAGTGGTCGGACGAATATGTACAAGATGGATTCACATGCATCATGGAACGTGATGGGACTCGGCGTCCTATCTGCATGATTTGTCATGCCAAGTTGAGCAACTCCAATCTCGCACTGGCAAAACTGAAGGAATACTTCTTGAATCATATTTTTAGTTTTCACTCAGGGTTCGGTGAATCTGCATATGAACTGGTTGGGTTCGGTACCTCTAACAAGGTTAAGAACCGCTGGTATAAGTATTGTAGCAGTGTCAAATTACACGGTTCACACACAGTTTTTACAAAAGTAGTATCTTTGTCGAAGATGAAAAAAGTACAATAACACTGCATTATATGAAACGAATACAGACAATACATTCATACTAAATGAGAAAACTTAAATGATGGCACTCTTGGTTGGGTGTGTGGGTCTATGTGGGCCCCACAGTTGCGCTGATGAAAAAATGTGGCACCCTCCAGTATTCAAGTTGACCATCCCTGAACTAGATAAAAATTGGGACATCAAGTACAAATGATTACACAAGCCTGTATTCGTCTTTGTCAGTTTTACATCGTTGACTTTCACCCTCAACCTGGCTACGATCTGTCACGCAGCATCCAACTCATACACATCAAGCCACGCAGAGCCCCCTTGTGTTACCTTGTGGTCCCCCATGCAGACATTGGCTCCGATATTATCATAGAGTAGAGACTTCTCCTCATTTTCTGGCTGCAAACAAACAAACAAACAAAAAAAAAAACAAGATGAGTACAGCAATTGCCACAATCACATGTGCTTACATGAATAATCAGCAAATACTTTGTACATAGGGTTGCATTCATTTGGCGCATGGGCCTTGGTCTGGTTTGTAGGCTACGTTTTCGGATGAACATTACGGATGTCATGAAACACAACTGAAATGAATCCCTTGACTAATACAGAAAGTCTAAAAGAAAAAAGTATCAAACCGGCATTTCATATTCGCTGCGGAGGTTCAGCAAATTCCCCATTTGTAGAATGTGTTTTGCGAATTTTTAGGCTTGGGGCATAATAATATCAATATGTATCGCAATCGACACTATATCAATAGGAAATTCCTTTGATAGAAAAAAATCAGAAGGCAAGCACCGGCATTGTGCATGTTGCAGGCAGCGTACAGCCGTCTCCAAACGCGAAGAAGAAGGTAAAACAATGAAGAGGAAGCAGCTAAACCGACAGAGTACAACTCTTGGAATAAGATTACAGTATATTGTGCATCCTAATACGATTAAACACCACCAGATGGACACGTGATGTGCAAGTAAAAGAGTTCCCTGTCTTTGACGTGCTATAGTGCCACAGTTAGCCATGTCCGACCCTCGGCATCGCACTGAAGTCACAATCAGGTAAATGAAATATGAATGGCCTATGGCGATAACGAGTCCACTAAAAAGATAAAGTTGTCCTCAACTGATCGGTCAACGCTAATGCTTGCACTGTGAGAGATTATAAATTCAGCACACTAGTATGAATGTTGAATAAAGGTAAATGTAACTACCAACGATCCTGCTTTGGGGTAGCATCTAACGCAAATAAGTAGGAATGTGCATCTCTCAACAAACGATGCTTCGATACAGTTATCGATACGTTAGGTGCGAAATTACCCCAGGACTGTTCGATCTGAAAGTGGAACGATTTGATTCAGTTCCACTCAGTGAGATTACGAGTCGATTCGATATAGTACAGCTCAGTTCAAAGCGGAAGGATGCAGTGACTTTTTTTTTGGTTGCCGCTTGGCACACATTAAATGAAGTTCTTGCTAGGCATCTTGATACATTTCAAAGTGGAACAATTTGATTCCGTTCGATTTGATACACTCGCATCTTTTAAATCAAAAAAATGTTTTCAGTTCGAACCCATTTTTGTTACGCCCCAATACAAATACACATTAACACTGCACTGAAGGAGGAGCAACTGTGCATATTACGCTACATTACAACATACCCAAAAACAGTTCATTGTTTTTCTCAGTTTAAATTAATCAATACCGACCGATATGAATTACCTATATGGTGAAACATTTTTGAGCCCAGCCCAACGGAGCACATTATGCTTAAAAAGATGCTTATTTCGTCCTTATATTGACCAGTTTATTTGACTTTTTCGTAGTTGCGCTGACCTCTGATTAAAATTTTCAAATAAAATTACCTGAATTCAACGTTTTTCTCCAAGTCCTTATTTACAAGGTAAAAATCAACATCTATGCCTATCGACAAACATGAAGTACTTGTATGGCGATATACTTTTCAGTCATATCGCCCAGCCTGAGAGACTTTGATTTGAAAAAACCCACAACAAACCGCAAAAGTATAGTTTCGGCCATCACCGACAAAACAACCTCTCTCATCGCCGCATCCACTGAGCCGAAAACACCTTTTCAGATCTGCTTTACAACTTATGCCCAGCGCAGTGAAGAGAAATGAAACACAGCAGTCATTTATAAAGTGTGTGTTTTGCTTCTGAAACCCGATGCACTGCCGCGGTAATCTCGAGCCTATCTGAGGGAATCGTGTTTCAATTTCCCTTTGTGCACACAAAGAAGCTGTTACCCGTGCAGACGCGTATCTGCAGACTGGAGAATAAATCACACTTGTCTGGTTGAACTAAAGAGTTTTTAAATAGCCCCCCCCCCTCCCTCCAACACACACACACACACATTGGGACATGGTGAGGTGCACTGGCGGTTCAGAAGAAAGAGACAGGGAGCTCGAGAATGAACCATAAAGCGAAATCCAAATTAACTTCAGCCCAATCCTGCGACGGAGCGGGGTCAGCACGCACAGCGGCGCCACCTCACGCTACCTTTTTCTAGCGGGTCACGCACTGGCACCTCTCTATATGTCTGCTCGATGGCCGCGAGCCGCTGCCTCCCCGAGACCGCGCATACATTCATCAAAGGCACACTTGATCATTTACAAAGGCGGCATAAAATTGTGGATTTTCAGGCTGCGTAATCTTTAGACAGATAAACAAATTACCCGGGGCCCTCCGGCGGAGGAGGAGCGCTCGCTCGGCTAAACATTCATTACCGGTGCTCCTGGAGCTGGTGCTGTGCCGCGTAGCCAGCAGGCAACCTTTGGCGTGTTAGGGCTCGGCAAGCAGAAAATAACATGATGGCGAGTTAACCGACCGTGCCATGATAGATGACGCCACGCGCTGGCCTGTTTACAGGCCCATGTCTCAACAATCTGTAACGTTCAGAGCCGGGCAGCGTGTGCTCAGTGAATCATCAGCCAATCTGTGGACACACTAACTGTCCTCCGTATTACTAGCAATTAGCTTTTACTCCACGGAAACACCGTAAACAGCCGTCGAGATGCACATATGAGTGGTTTTTTTTTTCTTCATCGACACTGTTTTTCTCCAACTTACCCTTCTACAGTTATTGTTTTACTGTTGTTGCTGCGGTCAGTGAAGAAGAAAGTTCAGGAAGGAATTTCTCATTTGTGGTGAACAAAAGAAAGTCAAACTTCCTGAGCGGCTCCCTGCTGAGGACTGTTGGGGGTACAATATACTGCTGCATCTCTTTTCACAGCTGAATGCTGCAATGTTTGCCTCTCCACACCGAAATATGTGCTCAGAATCCAACCACAAGGATCTAAGATGTTTAGTTTTTTTTTTTTTGGTCATGCACGCTTTTTTTTTTTCATTGAAATGATCATGTGTGGAAAGCATTGGGCTGCATGGTGGCTTTTCCAAGCGATCCAGTAAACACATTCGTTTGCCAGAGCAGACTGCTACACAGGCTGTGAGAGGAGAATGCTGTTTGAAGACTTGAGGAAGGCCACAAACTGTGGCTTGATGAACAAGATCCGGTCCCTAGGAAGTATGTGGGCCCGATGTACTCAAGATCCCGATTTGCGGGTGCTGAACGGCCTGATCACTCAAAAGATTGCACACACTGTAGGCTGCAGATGCAAAAGTGGTGGAGACCGCTGTATTTCATTAAGATACTTAAATATGTACCCGGGATTGAATGTCTGGATTCTTAAAAGACAAATATTTCCCATTGGCAGTGGATGAGTGTTAAAATGGAGTTTTTGTGCTTTGGATAGTTGGAAGTGATGTAATTGGAAGTGTTATGGAAAGAGGAAAACAATCATATTGCTGAGTCACTGAAAAAACATGTGTCGCTCAGACAATTTTAGGGAAACCAGCTACCGCATAAAAGACATATTTGTATGATTTCACTCATCCCGAGTGAGTGGCAATTTAATGTCTGTGCCCACTCTGTGCAATAATACGTTCAAAACTTGGGACAGCACAAGCTGAAAACCGCTTTGGGAGAGGACAAGAATAATTGCACTGCTGAAATGTCCCAGATAAAACAAATAAAACATGCAGAAGCAGATTGGAGTCTTGTCATGGATGACATGGCATGACTCCTTCCTGTGACTGTCTTCAACTCGGCCCTTAAACTGGCTTAGTTGATATGTTTGCGCTAATTTTTCTCAGCATTCCCAAAATGTTTACAAGGGTGGGAGATTTCACTCCACCGCTTTCAGACGGTGCTATTTAAAGACACAAAATGCAATGTGTTCCTGCTTTAACAAATCACATTGCCAAGTGCTAAATGTATCAATATCCTCATCCGACAATGCGCAAAACGAACAGCGCAGCAAGTTAGTGTGATTGTCAGACACTATCCAGGTTGCACCCTGTTGGTTGATCAGCTTCCATGTGTGTTTGGATGCGCAATCAAGTTTGCGGTGCTTTCACCGAGGTGTAAATACCTTAAGGAAGAAGTGTATAAGTATCCTAAATGAACTTGGGTGGCATTTATGAAGCTTGGTGATAATCAGGATGAAGCTCACCTTGGAGACAAGATCTCTGGCAGATGAAGACATAAGGATTCGGTCGCACCAGGCGGGGCATCTGGTGTTCATGTACTGCTTCCCCTGACTGCTGTCTTCGCTGTACGGGTAACTGACGGGAAACAAGTCGGACATAATGGTTGATATCAATCAATCAGTTAGATTTAGTTTCGGTTTTGACGTTTGCTTTTCAAATTCAGTTCATCCATTTTTAGAGCATATTACTTTTTATTTTTTCAAAAATGCGCCATTTTAGTTTGGTTTTTATTCATTTTAGTAGAATGTCTCATACAAACTCAACAACAACAAAAAAACATGACGTAAAATAAAAAAAATAAAAAAAATTAAATGCTTTGCTTCCCTTGCTGCTAAATTGCAAATTTCTCAATTGGACTTCCAGATGTGTGGCTGTTATTTCCCTTGAGAAGGATTGCACGACATGGCACTTTTTTTACCCACGACAGACAGAGCCAGAGAGACAGATAGACAAGTAGATAGATAGATACAACCATTCACCCGTTTATCTATCTGATCAGTTTTTGATTCAGTGGTGCAATATGTCTAATGTACATAGGTGCAAATCTAAATCACACGTTCAATGTATGCCTCTTGATTAACAAAAAAAACAAAACAAAAAAAAACTGGCCACAGACTTACAAGTTAAATTGTGTTTGAACATCGTTCTTTCATTGAAATTATCGGAGCCTTGCTAGACTACAACCAAAACTTGTTTTGACATTTCAGACGTTAAATAGCAAATGGAAGCGTTTATTTTGACTTATAGGTTTGTCTTATAGGTATTAAACATTTTATGCACCCATTTTTTGGCCACTCCTCTGATAATTAAGACACTTTTGCTTGATTAGATTCATCTTTGGCAACAGTTGCTTCCATTTCGACCGTGTGCGAGACCACGAAAAAAAATGGAGCAATCACCTGTGGGGTAATACCTAAAGAACCAGACAGGTAAGGACGATCCATATTAGCATTAGTCAAAGGTTAAAGCAAAAACATTTAAATTGACTGAAAACTTTTTATGCTTAAAATGACTGCGCTTAAATAACCCAAATTTTGTAGTGCAGAGGGGCGCACACTGATTCTTTGTAATATTGTACATGATAAGTACCGTATATATATCCTGTCCAAACGGGGAGAGTTTCAAATACAAAATCAAAAATATTTAAAAATAGAGTGTTTGTGAACAACCGCTCTTGTTCATATTTTAAATTGCTTCATGTTTGATTCTTCTGCAACACATTGCACAATTATATTCTCAGCATTATTTAACAAAGAAGAAATTCGAATTATGTCTAGGCTACATATGGCATTGATTTTTGTTAATATACAGTATATGTGACTTAAATGTCTCCCATTACTCCATAATGACAGATATCATCGCATTTTGACTTCAGTAAATACTGGTTCACCACTGCCAACTATTACAGCAATCAGAATAAAAAAAAAAAAACCCAACAAAAAACATAATTAATTTGATATATGGTGATTTTTGCCACATATGTCATCACCCTGGAGTATGTGATTTGTGGGCAGTCCTTAAGACAGATGGCAATAGAGATAAAGCTGTGAGCGGCGTTACTACATATGCATTTGAAGTGACAACAAATGTAGTCGCCATCTTTTAACAGATCATTTCCGAAATGTTCCTACACATCCTACACATGCGATACAGCAACTTAATTTGGCTATGATGCGGAGTACGAGCGTGTCAGAACGGAATGTTAAGCGACGATCAAACATCGTCGTAACTTTTGTCCGCTCGTATAAATGTAGGGGATGTCAGGGTTAGCGATGTCTCGCCAACGTTGACTTGATTTGTTCGTGGTACAGTGACTTCGTGTCAAGGTGGGGAGGGTTTTAAGTTGGCTAAGAAGTCATTTGTTTCTTGTCAAACCCGCAGCCGCAGTCCCATCCTGCCTGCCAATAATCATGTACAGTGTGATTGGAACACACGTCATAAACACTTCTCGCAGAAACGACAAAATAAAAGTACATATTCCAGGTGTCAGCTTGAGTGTGACGAGCTGCAACAACAGTGCATGTAACTCTGCGCATATGATATTTTTGACAAAATCTATGGAACACCGTGACTATCAACGCACACACGCTTGTGGTTTTTTTTTTGTCTCCCTTCTTCATTTTTTGAAACGACGGAAATCTGTCGTGGCGACGGAGGTCTTTAAACCCTGGCATGAGTGCATACAAATCTCAAGTGCCATCTCAAATGATGAGATCCATGCGAGATATGAATCAAAGTGTTGAACAGGATGGAAAACAATTACAGCCTCTGCTTTATGGCACAAACTGATCAAAGTATTTTCAAGAAAACAACAGGAGGTCCATTAGCATGACTACTCATCTGAGTAATCTCTTGAATCAACACATACGAACGGCTTAATCAAAGTAATGATTCGGTGCCAACTGCACAGGTTGTGAGAGTGTGTTTGGTGGAGAGAGAAATGAGAGCGAGGGAGGGGTAGAATAACAGCGAGAATGAGAGCAATTTAGGCGGAGTGAGCCGGGGAAGACGCAGTTGCCGATATATATGACTACATCCGTACACAGTCATCAAAAACAGATTAGGTGCGTCGGCAAATGGCCAATAGAGATTGCACATGTCTTGGAACAGCAGGAAATGATCACTTGATTTAAGCAGAAGCAGGCGTCGCGCCGGGCAAGCTGATAAAGATTTACATTGTTGAGAATTCAATTTGCCCATTCGGCTCATCAAACGGCTTCAGATTTACACACCGCCAATCCAATTTGTTTGCCGGTGCTCATCAGGGTGGAAGGGAAGGCTTGCATACCCTCATACCAATCCAATTTGCTCCTTCAATAGCACATGTGCTAACTGTAGCAGAACACAGAGTGACGGTTCTTTGCAAGCGGGGTTTTTTCATATTTAAAAAAAAAAGCAAAACACTGGAGCAATGGTACTTTTCTAAAGATCTGGCAGATGTAATGGAATGCAAAGCTATTGATTGAAAATAATCTGAAATCACGATGCCATTAACCAGTGGTGGACAACACAGCACATACAACATCTGGAATTGCACCGACTTTTCATTAGTTACACAAACAGCTCTCTACAAGGCAACATACTTCAATCCAACTGCAAACAAGTACAACAACAATATAAAATGTAGTTAAGGCAATACTTCAAGTCAAGTCAGTCAAGTCAGCTTTTATTGTCAAATATGCTCTATGTGGAACATACAGCACAGATGAAATTACTTTCCTCTCTCAACCACAGTGCAAACATGTAATGCTAAAATTTACGTTAAAATTCCACAAGACATAAACATATAAATATGTTAAATGAAAATAAATAAACAAATAGCAACAACAGACAACCAAGGGCACTTGTGATTATTGTATATTCGTAGTTACTTTTTTAAGTGCAATAATCGGATGTCAGATTACCACCAAACAATGTAAATTAGGGGGGATAACACGACATTTTTTTTGTGGCGTAAATATCGACATCAGGCCAAATGATTCGATACAAAGTGATTGTTTCGCTTTTGTAATGATACAATTCCATACGATGAAGGTGATTTCGATACATTATGAGACAGTAACAATGGCGTTTCTGTAAATACATTTACGCTAATTAAAAGGTAACACCACATGAGCACAATAGATTGCAGTTTCATTGGATTTTATTTTGAAACCAACTCAGCTTTACTTAGTCCAAAATGTAAAAAAAAAACAAACTCCAAATTGCCTTCAGAACAAGCTAGCTCTCTGAACATTTTAACATAAACAGAGTGAAACAGAACAAGCTAGTTCTCTTTTTATGCACTAACATACCTTATTATCAGAATAAGATGGTTCTTTTTATACATTAAAAAAGAAAGGGATCTTAGAATAAATAAGACAGCAACACCTTTTTGGATGTGCTGGGCTGCTAAATTTGACTTGACTTGACTTGATAATAATGTATGTAGCATCACGGTGTAAAATAAAAGATTGGTTTAGGTATGTGAGACGGATGGAATTTTTTTTTTGAATGCTCTGACCAAAATATCCAAATGTCATCAACACTGAAGACAAAAGTGTAGCAAACAACACACAATCTGAACTTGTTGATTTTTCTTTATGGGTATGTATTTGCAAACAATTTGAATAAGCAGGCTATAATACCTATATTTTTTATGAGGTCATCAGTTCAGAGGAACTTGACCAGAAATGTTGCATACTCTGACCAGCATTCATTATGTGGCCGATTAGTTTTCCATTATATTTCCAACGAAACCAACACACACTGTAATACTGCGCGTACCGTACGGTATGTGCGGCATCACGTTGCTTTATCTTGAGCTAGTGAAATGCCAGGGTGTAGGCTTTAGTGTATGGGGTTAAAGCAGGGGCATAAAGAGGGTTAACACACACACACACGCACACAAACTATCACATGCACAGGGCCCCCCACCAGGTGAGCAAACAGACCTGCGGAGTGAAACTTAAAGAGGTCCCCTACCTCCAATTAGCATTAATAGCACTTAAACCACAGGGGAAATGCATGATTTTTGGCATGCTAATCAAAAGGCCAAAGAAGCGATCAGGGATGAAAGAGAGCACGAAGAAAAGGTAAAACAGACAGAAGGAGGTAAAAGACCGGGGATAAAGACGGATCCGACAGGAGGCTAAGGGAGGATGGAAAAGAGCAAAATCTTCAAAGGAGATGTGGAGATGCTTGAATTCAGGGTGGCCTGAATGCCTTCTGCTTCCTGAGGGAGGGATGGCTGTCTTAACAGTGAACAATCCTCCTATCAGTGCCCGACGCTATTTACAGCTTTATTGACCAACAAGGCGCAGGTCACGCTGGTGTTGAAAGAGATTGAAGATTAAGTTTTCCTTCTCACTTCCTTCAAACAATAAACTTCGGATATTGTCGGATAGTCAATGACCCATTAGCGACAAAACTTTGTCATTTTTTATGACAACCGGCAGTTGTAAAAGCTGATTATGAATCTCTTGACAATGGCCATTAAAGGGCAATTTTGAGCACCTGTGTGTGCACGTATAGGCTCGTTCCCCTTTTCTGTACCGCACCCTCCATTGGTTGGAAGAGAGATAACAAGCCTTAAT